TAACTAGGGTCGATGCAGATGCAATAGTAAAAACTTTTGCTAGCATCATAAACAGAGCGGAGTAAAAGTCTAAAGTCATAACTATCTTTATTTTAACAAAAGATCCAATCAAATGGTGTGACATTGCGCAGATGTAAATTAGCGAATTAATTAGATAGTAATAGAAAAAAAAATTAAAATTAAAATTTTTATTGTTTACAAACCTTGTCTGTGTTGAGCTACAAATATTGCCGAAAAAATTATATAAATTGGCCTACGAGTTATGGAGGAGATAGATTTCAAAGAATCGTCTTCTTGCGCCATGAGAGCCCCGCTACAATAAAGTTTTTCATATTTCTAACATTGAGTTATTATGTACTACGTACTAGAGAAGCTATTCCAAATAAAAAATGTGCACTACTCTGTATCCGCACATGCGCGGGAAACAGTAGAGTCGCGCTGGCGCAGTTGATATAAACGAGCGAAAATTGTCATAATAAACAATTGTTTATTTAGATTGTATTGTTAATCGAGTACATTTTTTTAATATTTGTTTATTTTGTATATGTGCTAATTTAATATAAAATTATTATTAGCGCCGCTCCGCACTGCATGAATATTGAAACCACAATAACAGGTGTACGGATCGCAGTACAGTTGAGTTGAACACAGTGAGTGTTCGGAATGCCAAATCTCATGCGTAGTAGATACATATACATCGATGTTTCTAACAATGTTTGTTTTTGGATTCACTGATCCAAAAAAAATGTTTATTAGTCGTTAAATTTTAAATAAAACTAATTTTACAGATTCTCGAAAAATTGGTTTGTTCTACTTTTTGCCACAAAATTTCCAAAATGGACTCTTTTAAATGTTTTCGTCTACTTTTCCCGAGTAATCGTTTCGTGGTGGGACAAATTACGCTTTAATAATAACCACGTCCACTATTCTCCACTAGGGCTGGCATAATCAAATTCTAAGATCTTGAACTGTTTTTCAATAAAACAAATTATCAAAATTATATAATTGTAATCAATTTAAGTCGTAGATTCATTGTTTATAACATTTTTTGAAGTTATGATCACAGACAACGTTAACAAAATATTTACTAACATAATAATTGAAAGCACAGATGTTTCATAATATACATAACATCTTAAGAAGACAAACATACATCGATTAACGATTTACAAGCCAAGAAGTGTAAATGACTGAATGTTTGTTTGAATTATTGAAATACCAAACAAGTAAAATAATATAACTGAGTGTAAAATAACAAATTGCTTTCATAACAGATTTGTAACAATTAAACGTAATGCTAATCAATAAACAAATGACTAATTGAAGAAAAAATATGTTCTTAAAATTAAATCGATTTTAAGTTACAATTCACAGCCAAACAAAAATTATTTTGATTTTAAATGGCCAGTAAGGCAGCACAGCAATTTCATAGGTCAATACCCTAAAGTTAGTTATATGAAATCCAAAAAGTTTATGACCTATTATGTAATAATTAATTAAACATTTATTAAAGTTAACGACTGTGTTTAAAATTATGATAGGTATTTAAAACAGTCGTGGTCAAAACCAATGTTAACAAAGTTCTCACAACATGTGGCTTTTGCGTAGTCAAAACATTCTTTCTGCTTGTTTAAACAATTGAAAACACCCTGCGACGGCTTGAGCTACAAATCGTTCAATCTATTAAATCACAACACAAAACAATACAGAACTTGTAATACATTCATTTTGTGACGCTAACTAGTAACAGTAACACAAAACAACAAAACATAACATAATGTTACGAGCTTGGGGTTCGAGACAATTAAAAACTGCCGAGTGAATTACCAAAATTGGCACTTTAATTACAGAATACTAATTATAACTTAAAACCACACTAATAACAAAACACAATTGTACTACTAATCACTTTAGTTCGTAGTTGTATCGCTTCGAAGTAATCGCTTGTATCGCACATTCAACACTGACTCGGGTCGCGATCTATACCGGCCTTATATAGGGCCTCAGAAAGTTCCATAACCTTCTACTGTAAAATATCTAGAATAGATGTCCAGGTGTCGATAGTTCTAGAAAGTTCTCCCATGGAAATTTCCAGAAGGATCTTGAGTTTCCTAGTTCTGCTACTCGATACTAGAAGGCACTAGTGGTAACTAGTGTCGCCATGTACCAGGCATTAATTGTGGCGGGCAACTATAACATAATAAAATAACCTAATCTCTCAATGTCTATCACAAACATGGGTTGGCAAGTGTTACGGACTTCCTTTTAGCATGATTCTAAGACACTTCTTTCGTTGACAATAAAAACTGCCGATTAAATTACCAAAATTGACACTTTAATTACCGAACACCAATTATAACTTAAAACACACTAATAATAAAACACAATTCGCAGTTACATCGCCTCGAAGTATTCGCTTGAATCGCTTATTCAATACTCACTTGGTCGCGGTCCATACCGGACTTATATAGGCCCTCTTCTACTGAAAAATCTAGAATGTTAGAGTACATATATAGATTATTTCTGCTACTCGATACTAGATGGCGCTAGTGCCATGTACCAGGCATCAACTATGGCACACAACATTGGCCCTTCCTAAGATATGCTCGTCTCGAGCATTATCGGCCCCATAATTTCGTGCCAGTCGATCCACATGGACGATCTTAAAAGTACCTCTTGCACCTTTCTAAAAGGACCCCGCAACGTCAGGGGTATCCTCTTCCATGGTGCACCAACATTGTACAATTTCAAAGTACCTTTACAATGAGTCTGGGGTCCCTTCACAGCCGCACAACTTGTACATTTGCGACACCAATCCTCGACATCGTCATGACAGTGGACCCAGTAAAACCGTTCTCGGATCTTTAGTAGAGTACGTTTAACTCTCAGATGGCCTCCCCATTATAGTACAGCTGTAGAACATTTGGTACTTTAGCTTTAGGAACTTAGGTCTCCGCGACCATTTTCCCATTTACGGCACAGGACTCTATCCTGAATCAGCAAGCTGTCCCATTGGGCCCAATAGCTTTTCGTGTTCGAACTCATTGCTGAGACGTCGCTCCACTTGGGCTTGGGAGCACTTGCCTTCATCCATTCCAGAATCGGCTTGATATCCAAATCTTCCTACTGTGCATGATGTAGGCTGTCCTATTATATTATATTAATTGCTTTTAATTTTTTAAATATTTTTTAAATACCATAAAATAGCAAAGTTATGCTCGCCCTGCTCACGCTTCACGATCTGCTTCTCTCGACCACCAAAACACAACATCCCTGGCCCCCCCGCGAAGGAGGCACCTCACCCCCCGCTGAGGGGGATGTAGCGGCGCTGTCGTCGCGCCACTGGCACACCGAAACACACCAAAGCCTAAATCGCGCTATTAACATTCCGAATCATAGACAGTATATATAGAACTTCTCCGAACTATCACTCGGAGTGTCGGCCGCTCCCCGGGCAGAACACCTTGCCCGGCGGGAGATCTCCCCTTTTCCTTCCACGGCCACAGTTACATTCAAGAGTTATATAGTTTTTTTTTTTTATTTTTTTTTATTCTTTATTGGAGAGCTTAATGGTTTATAGCATTCTTAACAAGCTTACCTTGGGTAGAAAATTGTAACTGATTTGGTCAGCGCAGTGGCTAACTGTTTAGCTGGGGCTCTGCGAGTCGCGGGTCCGAATAATTCACCACAGAACAAGCATTTGTATAGTTTACATGTCCTCCGCTTTCATTCTTCTTTATTAGCCGTCATCTCTTCATTCACTCTTTTCTTACGCATATCGTCCTTAATTCAGTCCGTTCTATTCCTTTCTTAGGTCTCCCTCTACTCTTATATCCATCCGCTTTCATAATTTTCTTCCTTTCACATAATATTGTCACACCATACATATTATAAATAATTAGGGCTATTTGCCGCACTTTTTCCCCATAAATTAACACACCTGCACACGGAATACCCTGATGATTGACCGACAAGATCTGGAGATCGAATTCTTCATATTCACGAGGCCATAAAAGTCTGTCGCCACGTTTTAGGTTGAATTTGGTGGCTTCACGTTTATCTAACCGATTGCCTGTAATAACATTACCAGATGTGGCGAAATGAGACCAGAGTGACGAAATCTCTCACGCCGCCACACGGCTGGGGCTCGACTGGTGGAAAATTCAAATGTCTAGATTGAACTCAAATTTCACGGAGAATTAATAGGCTTTTTGGTGTGGTCATACCACTTTAGATTGGCAGCGGTTTCCATATGCCAATGAAGTGAGTATATAAAAACCTTCTAAGTATTAGCTGCTGACGTATTCTCGGAAACAACTACTCAGTTGTGAACTTAGAAACATTAATATCATAATATTTATATTTTTATCGATAAACAAATCATAGTCCGCATAGGCACTTGTATTTAAGAATTAGATTTAGGTACTAACATAAATTATAAGTTTCATATTTACTAACATATTATATCGTCGTTGCGCGTGCAATACCGCGGAAGAGCAGTTTGTAAATACCGCGTAACAGCAAAAAGTGCAAAATTGAAATTTCGCGGCTACAGACCCTTAGCGCTGATTCGCTTATACTACTTCTCACACAATTTGAGTTAGCCAATAAGAAACGTCATATTTCAATCAAAACAATACCGCGTAACAGTACTTGCGTTTGAAGTTGGCTGCAAATCCGCGTATTTACGAAATGGGCGAACAAATTGAAACACGATTAGTGCGTGCTCTCGAAAATAATTATTTTGTAGTGAATAATAACCACGTAAGTACGTTTTTATTCTTTATAGTGTTTAGTTTTTTAATGTATTTATGCTTGAATAGAGTAATTAAGTACAATTCTTTAGTATTTTTATGATTGTGAGTAATAATAACCTGTAACACGTAGTTAAGTGGTATTGATACTACATTATACTAGTTGTGTTTATCATTTACGCGGTATTGCATTATATTAAATTTATGTTTTTTTTTTAGATACAAATAATTTGAAGTAACCGAATAATGATGGAGGACGGAGAAAATGAGTTATTTTTAGAGAATGTTGATATTAACGATGACGTGGTAACTTTAAGAGATCTATTTGAAAGGCGAAAAATATTGTTGCGAAAAAAGAAGGAAATATTGAATAAACAATATTATGCAAATAAACTTGCTGCAGAAAATCAGCAACAAGAACTAGTTTCCGTTCCTTTGTCAGGGGAATTAGAGCAAGAACCTCCGAATCAAAATTTGACATCCGAATTGACTACGCTTACAACAATATTGGATACTACTTCAACACAGAATAGAGATGAGAATATTACTTCTATTGATGTAAACATTAATATAGTGGAGCCTAATAAAAATGACCTTGAATTTTCGTCCGATGATTCAGTCACTGATCCTTCATTTGTCGCCCTCTCAGACATAACAAATTTAAAGCCACTATCACCAGCAAATACGGAGTGGTTTCCCGAAAGGGAAATAGAAAATACGGCGAAGAAAAAATGGAAGAAAGCGGAAAGGGAATCCTAATAACTGGAAAAGAATAATAAATAAGCGGCAAAGGATGATGGGCGAGGAATACATTGGATTTAAAAAAAGATGGCACTAAATTCGTTCAAAATGATCCTAAACCCGCCAGAATAATGGGTCCAATATGTATGTCGAAGAGATGTTTCAGTGGTAAAGCTATGTATTGCCCAAAGCTAACAGAAGAAGAGCGGTCAGAAATTTTTAAAACCTATTGGAAAATGAGTTGGCATGAAAAGAAAATGTATATAGCTTCAATGGTGGATAAGACACCTACAACTAGAAAAACTAAGAACTCAAATTCAAGGCGCAGTGACACCAAAGTTTACTATTTAAAAGTAAACGATAAAAAGGAAAGAGTTTGCTTAAAAACATTTTTGGAAACATTGGGCATAAAAGAATGGACAGTTCGATATTGGCTAGGAGAGAAGACGACTATCGACAATGAATCTGAACCAAGTGCTGTAGTAGCCACAGAAACAAAAAAAGAATCAGCCAGAAAATACTTGATGGCGCTACCGAAACTACCGTCTCATTACTGTAGACAATCTACTTCAAAGCTATATTTAGAACCCATCATACAAACAAAATCACAATTGTATGGTCTATATGTAGACTACTCAGTTTCGCGAAATGAACCTGTGGCCTCTAGGAAGGTATTTGAAGGGGTTTTATTCGAAGAGAACATGAGTCTATTTCAACCAAAGAAAGACGCATGCGACCAGTGCTGCGCTCACAAAGCAGGTAACATGTCAGATGAGCAGTATATAAAACATATTGAGCTAAAAGACTTAGCTAGAATTGAAAAAACCCTTGACAAAGAAGCAGCACGGAAAGGGACGATACATGCATTAACAGCAGATCTTCAAGCAATCAAATTGTGTCCTTCACTCAACGCCAGTGCACTATATTTTAAGACAAAACTTGCCGTCCACAACTTTACAATTTACAACCTGGGAACTAATGGAGTCGCGTGTTACTGGTTCGACGAGACGGCATGCGACTTAAAAGCTACTACATACGCATCATTTCTTGTAGATTATTTAACTAAATTACTGGAAAATGATCCAAAGGATGTAGTATTGTTCACAGATGGCTGCACAGCCCAGAATAGGAATAATATTGTGTCGAATGCGTTGTTGCGTTTGGCCATGGCCAAGAACATAGTTATAACTCAAAAATACTTGGAAAAGGGCCACACTCAGATGGAAGTCGATTCGGTGCACTCGGTGATCGAAAGAAAATTGAAAAATCGAGAAATATTTCTACCCTCACAATACGCAACAATCACGAAGGAGGCCAGAAAAGTGCCGAGTCCTTACCGGGTTATTACTCCTGATCATACATTTTTTAAAAAACTTTGCTCATAAAGATCACCTCATTTATGATTCAATAAGACCTGGTCGTGGGGCGGGTGATCGTGTCGTCATGGACATAAGGGCCCTAAGATACAGTCCTAGTGGGACAATTGATTTTAAACTCCACTTTGTAGACGATTTTGTTCCTTTACCTAGGAGACCAAAAAACATATTATCTGACTCTTTAATTGATTGCGTAGGTCCATTGTATGAATCCAGACAACCAATATCCAAAACAAAGTATGATCACCTACAGGAATTGAAGAGTGTCATACCTAAAGACTGTCATAGTTTTTATGATAATTTACCTTTTAAATAATATTCCTAATAACCAAGATCTTAAATGCTGTGATTATTAATCGTTTTAATGAGAATTTAAGAACTAAGATAATAGAAGTACTTGGTACTTCGTAGGTGTAATGATTGCCATATTTAATTGTTAAAGCTTTTAATAAAAAAAAATCGTATTCGTCCAAGAAACTAATTAACAAAGATTGAAATGCTGGGATTTTAGAAGATCGAGGAGGCTGATTAGTTTATTATTCTTAATTAAGTGAACGTAATTGTTTTATTGTAATTAGAGAAATTCAGGGATTGTGTGATTAAATTGATATCTAGAGTAAGAGTTATTGTTTTTTTTTTCTAAGAAGATGTATAATTTTGTATGTTTTTTTCTACTATAATATATAATAATAAATTCAAATTAATAATATAATATGTATTTTATTTTAAGCCCGCGTATCTCCTAAAAGTATAGTATTTAAATGTAATTTGCTGGTACAAAACCGCGTAAGTGACTTTACACGAAATCTAAACAAGTTTCCGGTACATTTACGTTAAATTTCTATAAAATAAGTAACAAAGAAGCTGCTATAAAGTTCAGTCGGTAATATAATTATAAATTACCAAGTTATTAAGTTTTTTCTTCTTCCTGTAAAATTCTAAAAATGTAGATACGCGGTATTTACAAACTGCTCGACGATATGGATTATTTCGATATCTGAAATAAAAATTATTATTATTATTTTTGGGGTTCTGTATAGTTTTCTCATCTGGTTGGGTTCTATAAATATATAATTATAAATTAAAATGAAAAGATAAATATACATAAATATCAATAAAATAAAATAAATACAAAAAAATACATAAATAAATAAAGACCCAACCAGATGGAGGCCCTCGGCAGGGGAGACCAAACGGCCGAGGGTTAGGGGGAAAGGGAAAGAAACCGACGGACGATGCGGGCGGTATCGAGGACCACCGCCTTCTGCATTTGAGCCCGGAGCGGTCCGCCACGGAGTCCCAGTCGCCTCAGATGACCCGAGAGGCTGACTGGGATTAGCCCGTTTGCAGAGACGACTACAGGAATAATTTCGGTCGGCAGACCACCCCACATGTCAGTCACCTCGTGAGCCAGGTCCAGATATTTTGTTTGCTTATCTGTTTCGGCTTTCACGAGGTTCTCGTCATACGGAATGGTAATGTCGACCAAAAATATCCTTGACTGTGCCCGGTCCATCAGCACAATATCAGGCTTATTCGCAAGAATAGTCCTGTCTGTGATGATGGCCCGGTCCCAATAGAGCCTGGCGCGGTCATTTTCGAGCACGGCTTCCGGCAAGTACTTGTAATACGGCAATTTCCGGTCCACGATACCGTATTTCAGAGCGAGCGCCTGGTGAAGAATTCTGGCTACTAGGTTGTGCCTGTGCAAGTACTCAGAGTTAGAAAGCGCCGAACAACCGGAGATGACATGCCTAAGTGACTCCCCGGGATGGCGACAAGCTCGACAGACATCGACGGTGCCATCCTTTAGGATGTATCTCCGATAGTTGTTGGTCTTAATAACCTGATCCTGTATTGCACAGACAAAACCCTCGGTTTCCCCGAAGAGGTCACCAAAACGTAGCCAGTTGAGGGAGGCGACTGTATCTACGAAGGGCTCATGAAGAGCCTTGTAGAACCTCCCGTGGAGCTCCTTCTCCTTCCATACGTTCTCCCGGTCGGAAATTGTCTGCACTGCCGGGTCTTGCCATTGCTCGTTGGCTAAGGATAGAGGGGTAAGTCCTTTATCACTAGAAATGACGTCCTTATAGAATGGATCATCCGATCTCGCCAGGAAGTAATTACGGAGGCTGCACACTTCACGATTATGCATAGTGAGCGCGCTCAGAAAGCCACGCCCACCATGCTTTCGCGGCAAGTACAGCCTCATTACCGACGATCTCGGATGATGCATCCTATGGGACGTCATGGTAGTGCGGACTTTTCTATCCAGGGCGTTAAGTTCAGTCTGAGTCCACCTGAGTATGCCAAAGGTATACATAAGGACAGGCATGACCCAGCCGTTATATGCGTGTGCCTTATTCACACCGGACAAAAGGCTGTTAAGCACTTTGGTCAAGCGTGCATAAAACACGTCGCAAACTGACTGTTTCATACCAGTCTCATCGATACCGATGTTTTGTGACATACCCAGGTATCGGTATGTTTCAGCCTCGGAAAGGGTCCTTAAGTTGACGGGCATAGATAAATCTACGCCCTCAGAGTTAGCAACCCTTCCCCTTTCAACATGGAGGACCGCACACTTATCCGTCCCCAGCTCCATTCCAATGGAGTTGTTAAACTCACAAGTGATGTTTAGCAATTCCATAAGATGGGAGCGACTGGAGGCGAATAACTTGAGGTCATCCATATAGAAAAGGTGGGTCACTTTTGTCCCTCCTCTCCGTAGCTGAAATCCCCTCCCGGAGCCCTCCAGTAAGGTACTGAGAGGGTTCAGAGAGAGGCAGAACCAGATTGGACTCAGACAATCGCCCTGGAAGATACCCCTTCTTATCCTTATGTGGTTCTCCGCAGCCATCATCCCTCACGCCCAGATGACAAAGGATCGTACTCCACTGCCCCATACACAGCTCGAGGAAGTCTCTCACTGTACAGTCTATCTTGTACAGCTCGAGGACTCTCTTTAGCCATGTATGGGGCACCGAGTCGAATGCCTTTCTGTAGTCTATCCAGGCGGCGGAGAAGTTCCGACGGTTGCGTTTCACCACTTTGCCAATGACCGCGTCAATGAGGAGTGGTTCCTTGGTTCCACGACCACCGCCCCGACATCCATTTTGAGCGCGCGACATCACCTGATTTGAGTCCAGGTGACGAGTGATTCTCGCGCTCAAAATGGATGTCAGTGTCTTGTATATGGTGGGTAGACACGTAATGGGGCGGTATTTGCTCGGGTCTGTGGTACCCTGGTCTTTAGGAACCAAATGAGTGATCCCAGTAGTGAAGAGGCTTGGGAGCGACTTCTGGTTGAGAGCCTCTTGAAACTGACGGGCAAGCACAGAGTGACACACCATGAACCCCTTCAGCCAGTAGTGATGCAGCCCGTCAAGCCCCGGACTTTTCCAGTTCGGGGCCCTACGGACCGCCTCAGCTACGTCATCCGGCGTTATGATGACGGGGTCCATGGGCGTAATACTCGCACACTGACTCGCCACAACTTCCGTCCAAGGGCCCTCGCTGTGGTTTACGGGCTCTGACCACAGGCCGCGCCAGAACAAATGCTACAGTGTCGGCCTGATCCGGTCCTGGGCCCGCTCCACATACCTCTGGTCGCTCCAATGATTCGTAGAGCCTCTTCTGATCACTCTGGAAGAGACGATTCTGGTTGAACCGCGTCGACCTCTCGGTAAATCGCCGAATCCGCCTTCCCCAAGCAGCGATTCTTTGCTTCAGGTCATCTATGCGCTCCGTCAGTTTTTGCGTGATATCCGGCTGGGACAAACTGACATTTGTCCCAGCAAACGCCATTCTAACGGTGCGCACAATTCTCGGCCTATTGTTACCCGACCTGAAGCATATCAGTCTGCCGATAAGGGCTCTAGCCTTTGCGACACGTTCCTCAATTCTTCTTCTCCAGGCTGGGATGGCGCTACTTTGTCTAGTAGCGCGTCCAGCCATGGGAACTTTGGCGCCAATAATACGGCAAGCTGCCAGCGCGGCGCCAAAAAGAATTGAGTCCGTCTCGCAAAGGTCCCGGCTGGCTTCCAAATAGGTTACCAGCATTGGGTTAAGAGCCCTCACGACAGCCCGATTCCGCTTGCTTAGGGCTATGCGGGGAAGTCGCGGTCGATTTTCGAGAGGCGTACTGCGCGTTTACACAATCGCCTCTTCCAATGTACTCCTCATATGCTCTAATTCCAGTTCGTGGGAGACTATTCCATCATCGTTTGAATCACCCACAACTGGGTATCCACGGCGGCTTCCACGTTCGCGGGCTGGTCTGCCATTTGAGGAGCCGCATCCCCAGCCGTAGCAATTCTCATCCGACGAGGGAACGGCCTCAAGTCGTAGCCGTTCGAGCTCGGCATCATCAAATATATTCGAGCGCATGATGTACCGAACTCGGTCTGCCAGGTTTTGCTCTGTGACGGTAAAAGACGGCTCCAGCTCAGCAAAAAAACAATGCATCCGAGCCCGATACGCCAAACATCCCCCAGTTTCTCCCCCTTTCGCCCTAAAATACGCCCGCAATGCGTTTGCTGTTCATATCCGTTGTCCAACGCATGCGGCGCACTCCACCAGAGGCGGGTGCCGCTTGCCGAGCCCGAGAGGACCCTGCCGACACCAAGCCGTCTGGTGGGGATGATGGATGCGGGGGGCTGCTGGGTGGTCGTGCAGCTCCTCGCGCTCGGCTGGCGGTCCGCACGCTGCCGCGTCCAGCGCCAGCTCCAGACGCGCCCCGGCGACCCCCAGGCAGCGGCCCTATGCACGTTCTTCCAATCTTCCATCATCCATAGTGTTGGGCGTCATTTAGCGGGAGACGCCCAGGCCCGGCGCCGTTTCATGGTACGGCCATGTAAGCACAAGCGGGCCTTTGCACCTTCGATTACTGCCGAGGCACGGCGCTCACACCTCTTGGCAAGGCGCTGACTGACTGCGCCGACGTAGCAGTTTTGTCACATAACCGTTTCGTCAGCGGGCGATGTGGTCGTCACTTCCCTACGCCTTATTATTATTATTATTATTATTTTAAGTTCAGCGTTGGTAAAAGTGATTTTTAGTGTTTTTTACTCCATTACCGCCCTTCACCTAGATTTATATGACGGTTCAGTGAGTGCACTTAGTGACTAAGCGTCCGTTTGCTGTGCTGTGGGACTTAGATTCGATTCCCGTTCAGAACACACAAGTCTACTGCTGAACATATGCCTCCCCCAAAGAATGCCACTAAGCACGGTCCTAAATCACCTGCATCCATCGTCTTCCTGCCTGTCTTAACAGGTCGCCCTACACTTCACCTACCGGTACAAGGTGGCAGCCTTGAGAACCTACCTCGAGAACCTTTTCCGACAACCCATCGGTTGTTGGTTCTTCGAGTATATGGCCGGCCCATAGTTACTTCAGCTTATTAATTTGTTGGCTTAGAAAGGTTACTAATATGTTGTAATCTAGCGATGACAAAAAAAGTTTTTCCATTATTCTCACTGACAGCTACCCGTGTAATCGACTGTATAAACCGTTACACAAATATAAATATGGTCGCTGGAGATCCATAAAGATTAAGACCTATACGTCATATACTTAGCGAACATTAACGACATTTAATGACGTCTTTCAATCAAGCTAGAGCCACGTTAATTTTGTCATAAATAGCTTACTTAAGTGGTATCAACGTTGGAAGTATCAACAATACTGGAATTTTTAGAGCCCTTTTACAGCTTAGTGCCAATTATGCGGTATAATCCCGTGCGGTCATTGTAAATAGATTGCTTTGGAGCTATTATGGATGGAGTGAAACGTTTCTGCCCACGCGACATCGCGTTAATTTATAGTAAATACAGTTATAAAACCGTTTATGCACTTTCTAACTAAATTCCAAAAAGTACTCATACGTTTCCCGTTAAAAAAATTAACAAGTAGAAACTGGACAAAGGTAAAAATTGTATTTTTTGACTTTTTTTAATAGAATAAGGGTAACAAACGAGCACACAGCCCACCTGAGAGTAAGTAGATACTGTGGCTCATATATATCTACATTTATCTTTGAATAAGAATCAAAATGCAGATGCGTTGTCACCTCTGAGGACTAAACGTGACGTTTCTGGTAAAAAAGAAGTGAAGTATGTGGTAGAGCCACGATACAGCTATATTATAGTTGTATCACAAATGGGTCGGCTCGACGGGGGTAGGACCACGCTCTTACAGAATACAAGCGTATAATAGCACCTTAATTCTGCTGTGTTTCGTATGGTGAGTATATAGCACTGGAGACCTTTTTTTATTGGAAACGAGGCATTCCATCTTAGTCCTCAGGGGTGACAACGCATTTGCGTTTTGATTCTTAGTCGTAGATAGATATAGATGTCTATGGGCCACAACATCCACTTACCATCGGGTGGACTGTGTGCTCGTTTGTCACCCTTATACTATAAAAAAAGTTCTCTACACTCACCACACGAAACACAGCAGCATTAAACTGCTATTTTTCGCTAGTATTTCCTATTAAGTAGTCTCTCCCCGATTGAGTCGACCCATTCGTGCTTCAACTATAATAATTGCAAAGTCGCTGTACTACGTATAAACTGACTTCAGAATATATAACTTTAGGATAGTCCCATATTGTAGCGACATTTAGTACGTAAATTGCATGCAGATAAACAACTAGACCGGAAATAAATATTTCACAAATACATTATACATAAACTCTTACGCTTGTCACCAAGGGCAGTAAGCAGATTCTAAAGATTCTATTTGGCACAATTCTGATACACCTCTGTCATTTCTTTCACATCAACATTTATAAAATATATATATCCACGCATACATGCTGATTGGTTGGTAGTACTTTTAAATTTCACTTAAATTGTTTATATTTTGCTTTGATTTTTAGAAAACGTTACCCCATACTAGAATTTTCTTCCTTATTGTAATAGTTAGAATCATTTTTACTCAAAATATATTACAAGAATACTTTTAGAAAAAAAAAACAGCTGTCCCGGGAAGAACCAGCAAGAAACCTAACGGGGCTATTTTTAAACAGTTATTTAAAATTTATAAAAATATATATATATATAACACCCACACATCCACACACACAACTATCGGTCACGGCGGCCAGCCTCAACGGAGGCTAGCCATCGGCGCAGCACAGGATTGTAGTGCCCAAGTGTATGCGCAAGCACAGGTGCACTCTCTATTCCCTCACTCTCGTAATCCGATGGGACGGTAAACCGACACGACCGGAAGAAAGATCAGGCGCAGAACGGCTTTACGTGCTGGTTACGGCTGGAGTTTGCGTACCTATACGTCAGTGAGGACATTTGTTCTCTACGCCTCGGCAGTCTTGAAGGTTCGGACCTGTCCATACTTTGGCTACGCGTAGACAGCGACGACCATCCGCGAGTCTACAGGTGCCTCTATAGGTCCCATAGCAGAAAGCCGAAACAGACCGACTCTTCGACCTTGTCCAAATACCTACAGATTCATTGCTGCAGCAGATCCTCGGCGATTTTAACGCCCACCATGCCGAATGGCTTGGTTCACGTTTAACCGATCATGCGGAGAGATCTGTTAATGATTTTGTCTTGGCATATGATCTGACACAACTGGTTGCTTTACCCACGCGGATTCCAGATGTGGAGGATCATGCACCTTCCCTTTTGGACCTTCTGCTGACTTCTCATCGGGACGGATATCAGATTTCCGTCGACGCCCCTTTAGGCTCCTCGGACCATTGTCTTTTCCGAAGTGTGGTGCTACTCACGCTGAAATCGCGGTTGCATTCTGCAGGCTGCCGCCGTGTTTAGAAAGTTGTCTTTGCTAAACAAAATCTTGGATTGGGGTCAACTAAATCTAGTCCAATTTAACCCTCAGAAGACGCAGATATGCGCGTTAGCCGCTAAGAAGAACCCCTTTGTCGTATCCCCACAGTTTCAAGGCACTCCCTCTTGTTGCCTCAGACAGTATCAGAATCCTCGGCGTCGTATCGAGTGACGTTGTAGGCCATAAAATTACTTCTTTCATGCGAGATCCGAAACCACGACTCTCAGCTTGCGACTCAGAGCTAAAGCCACTGCATCACGGAGTTTTTAAGATCGAATTTAATATATTTTCATGAATTAGGTCGATAAAATTCCATCTGAAACATCCCTTGCCAACTGTACTACTCATTTCTACATCGTAAATTTGCTTTCGTAGGGTAGGGCTTAGGTACGTAACCAGACCACCGGAGAATTCCCTTCCTAATCCTGTTCCCAATAAAAGCACACTTTTCTTTTATCACATTATTTCTCAGTCTATCTTGCTCAACCAACTCTCCTTATATACTTATTTTGCATATCGTTTTACTTTCTTCTTTTTTAAAAACCATTACTTTAATCTTACTTGCGTTCACTTTCATTCCCCTTTCTTTGACCGAGTTGAAAAAACTACGCATATATCTTTATGTATGTTTTTGAAAACAACAGAACAGACTTAATATAAAAAGATAATTCTCTTCATATTAAATAATTTATACTCTAGGGGTAAAATAATATAGCAAGTTCAGGTACAAGTTGTTCGGTGAACTCACAGGTCTACAGCTAGAAACCAGAGCTGTTGGTAATTTTTTTATAGAATAAGGGTGAAAAACGAGCACACAGTGCATGTGATGGTAATTGGATGCTGTGGCCCATAGACATCTACATTTATCTTCAATTATAAAGCAAAATGCAGATGCGTTGCCAGCCCTGAGCACTGAGACTCATCTCAGTGCTCAGGGCTGGCAATTGCATCAGGGATGCCTCATTTCCAGTAATAAGGGTATGCAATTCTCTACACTCACCACATGAAACACAGCAGCATTAGGCTGCTATTTTACGCTGGCATTCTGTGAGAGCGTGGTCTTCCCTTTCCTTCAGCTGCTGGCCCCTACGGTTCTCTTGCCCTACTCCGAATTTCCCTAACTTCAGCTCACCGCTTTCTCTTGTGCCTAGTTTTGCGTTGAAGTCTCTCATCAACACCGTGTAGTGGAATTTGGAAGAATGCATGGCTCTAGAAATATCCTCATACATTTCCTCCACCTCCTCATCGGGATGCGCCGAGGTTAGTGCGTAAACCTGTATGACCTTCAGCGAATACCGTTTGGTAATTCTGAGTATCATGTACGCGACCCTCGTCGACACACTCCCAATCTTTACAACGTTGTTGACGAGAGACTTGTGGACGATAAATCCGACACCTCCTTGGGACAGATGGTCGCCCTCCCGGTGATAGAACAAGTTGCCGGACCTCGAGTATTACCGTGTCCTTCCCCTCTCTTCGGACCTCGGATAACCCAATAATATGCCAGCGTAACTTGTCTACCTCTTCTTCGAACTCCAGTATCTTCTCGTCAGTCCTCAGGATGCGTGCGTTATATGTTGTCAGGTCGAGTCGTCGTAGGTGGCAACCGAACCTCCACCGGAGACTCTTAGCACCCCCTGCCCCGTCGT